TTTCGAGACAGGGTTTGTCTGTGTAGCTTTGGAGCCTATCCTGGCACTCACTCTGGAGACCAGGTTGGCCTGGAACTCACAGAGATCTGACTGCCTTTGCCTCCCAAGTGCTGGGATTAAAGGTGTGCGCCACCACCGCCCGGCACATGCAGACACTTATACACACAAAATAAGTAAATAAATAAAAACTTCCAAGTCTGTCTATAGATGGCAGCTAACACTAGTCAATAAGCACTGTACCCCAAAGAAAAGCTCAGTGACAGAGATTGCTGATCCACAGAGAAATAAACCTGAACAAAGCCACGACTGTGATGCCTGAAGCCAGCCCTGCTTCCTGCAGAATAAAACCACAACTGACTGAGGCACGACACATGCTGCTGCATCACTGTGAGAACCACAGAACCTCCATGTAGAACATCCCACCCACACACTCCCCGGGCTCCATTAGCCTTCTCAGACAGCTTTTTTCCCCTCTAGAATGGTGTTGTCTTCCCTAATGTTTATTTATTTATTTGCCTATGTGGGCACATATGCTAGGGTGCACATGTGGAGGACAGGGAACATTTTCTAGGAATAGTTATCAGTTCATCAAGCTTGGTAGAACCTGCCTTTACCCACTGAGCCATTTTGACAGCTTGGTGACTGTGTTTTCAAGATAGTTGTGTGAGGCAGTGCTGTTGGTGAAGGACCAGCAGTTTGGCAACCACCCACAAACTTGAGTGCCAGTACTGATAATCATCACTCCAGGGGAGGGAGTGGGAACTTGGATTGGCATGTAAAACAATCTTGTTTCTAATTCAAATAAAGAAAAAAAAGTATTATTAAAAAAATCTCAAAAAAAAAAAAAAAAAAAAGAAAATCACCACTCCAAAAATAGAGCTTAATTTTGTTTCTAAATGAGACAAATTGTTTTCAAAGCTACCCCCCCTCCACTGTCCCCAGTTAGTAGAAATAGCTAAGTAAAATGGTGACATATGCCTGTACCTCTAGTGTGGGGGCAGGGTAAAAGCAGGGAGGATGGCCGTTCAAGGACCAACTTCAGCTAAGTAGGGAAAAGAAGATAGAAGTATTGGGGCGGATGAGACGCCTCAGCAGATAAGAGTGCCTGGCAACTGAGCTAGGAGAGAACCGGCTTCGAGTAGCCTCTGATTACCAACCACAGGTGCTGTGGTGTGAGCATGCCCGATATTGTCCTCTGGCCTCTCAATGAACGGCACAGGGCACACACACACACACACACACACACACACACACAAATAATACTAAAAATTAAAAACAACCTAGTAGCAGAAGTAAAGCACACACACACACACACACACACACACACACAAATAATACTAAAAATTAAAAAAAAAACTAGTAGCAGAAATCACACACACACACACCACACAAATAATACTAAAAATTAAAAACAACCTAGTAGCAGAAGTAAAGCACACACACACACACACATATAATACTAAAAATAAAAACAACCTAGTAGCAGAAGCACACACACACACACACATATAATACTAAAAATAAAAACAACCTAGTAGCAGAAGCACACACACACACACACATATAATACTAAAAATAAAAACAACCTAGTAGCAGAAGCACACACACACACACACACAAATAATACTAAAATTAAAAACAACCTAGTAACAGAAATAAAACACACACAGAGAGAAATAATACTAAAATTAAAAACAACCTAGTAGCAGAAATAAAACACACCAGAAGAGGAAAAAAAGCACACACACACACACACACACACACACACACACACACACACACAAATAATACTAAAATTAAAAGCAACCTAGTAGCAGAAATAAAACACACACACTCACACACAGAGAGAGAATACTAAAAATTAAAAACAATCTAGGAGCAGAAATAAAACATACACACACAAATAATACTAAAAATTAAAAAACAACCTAGTAGCAGAAATAAAACACACACACAAATAATACTAAAAATTAAAAACAACCTAGTAGCAGAAGTAAAGCACACACACACACACACACACACACACACACACACACACACACAAATAATACTAAAATTAAAAGCAACCTAGTAGCAGAAATAAAACACACACACTCACACACACACAGAGAATACTAAAAATTAAAAACAATCTAGGAGCAGAAATAAAACACACACACACACAAATAATACTAAAAATTAAAAACAACCTAGTAGCAGAAATAAACCACACACCAACACACACACACACACACACACACACACACACA